CATGATAGAATTCTGCAAAATTAATGATTTGTTCCTTTCAAATACCTTCTTTAGACAGCATAAGAGATGACTATACACATGGACCTCGCCAGATGGAATACGTAGAAATCAAATTGACTGTGGAAAAAGATGATGGAAAAGCTCCATATCATCAGTTAAAACAAGGCCAGGGGCAGACTGTGAAACAGACCATCAATTGCTCATATGCAAATTCAAACTGAAGCTGAAGAAAATTAAAAGAAGTCCATGAGAGACAAAATATGACTTTGAATTTATTCCACCTGAATTTAGAGATCATCTGAAGAACAGATTTGACACATTAAACACTTAAGACCAAAGGCCAGAAGAGCTGTGGGATTTTGTTGTTAAGTGCTATCAAATCAGTTCTGATTTATAGTGACCCTATGCACAACAGAAAGAAGCACTCCTTGGTCCGGTACCATCCTCACAATTATTGTTACATTTGAGTTCATTGCTGCTATATGACAATACATCTCATTGGGGGTCTTCCTCTTTTTTGCTGACCCTCCCCTTACCAAGCATGATGTCCTTCTCCAAGGCCTCATCCCTCCTAATAACATGTCTGAAATATGAGAGATGAAATTTTGCCATCCTGGCTTTAAGGAGCATTCTGGCTGTACTTCTTCTAACACAGAGGAGCAAAATTTCTCCTCAAATACAAAAGCAAAATTAAAATACATCTAGGTAAATATATCAAAAAGGATTTATAAAATGCAGACCAACCTTATAAAAAAAAAAATGCTAAAGGGAGTTTTTTGGACAGAGAGCCAACAACAGTAGACAACAACCTAAGATTAACATACTTGACACCACCACCCAGAAGTCAACTCAGATATAGAAGTATCCAAAGTAAAACACAAACTGAAAATAGGGGAAAACTGAAAAATAGGGAACTAGATGTATGAATTTGTAAGGAAGACAATTAAAATGGAAGACAAAGTAAAATGACAGAATAGTATAGTAACAGAGTTTCCAAATGGAGAGGAAATCAAACAGATTTCTTAATTGTCTTAAACTTGGAAAGAAACTAATACACAGGTTACATAGATGAACTAGAAGGCAATATATGATTGAATAGACACTTCAGGCTGAACAGTTACAAAAGGAATAGTAATAATATACCCACAAGTATATATAGATTTGACAGAGAATATGTGTATATGGGTATTTATCTTTGCTATAAATATAGTCATGAAAATGGTGGCGCATACCGCACCAAAGACCTGCAACCTTCTTAGACATAACCAAACATCTTGAGAGAATGAATTGCTGGGCCTGGGGGTTCAGGATCATAGTCTTAGGGGTCACCAAGGTCAACTGGCAAAACATAGTCCACAAATACAACATACTACATCCTACATTGGTTAGTAGTAGCTGAGGTCTTAAAATCTCATGAGTCATCATCTAACATGCAACTATTGGTCTCTCCCTGCAAATAAATTTATGAATGTAAAGGAGCACATGGAGGAAGTAGGGGGGGAGTTACTAAAACTTCTTAGACATAAGGAAACACCTTGAGGGGATGAGCCCCTGGGCAGGACTCAAGACCATAGTCTCAAGGAACACCAAGTTAATTGGCATAACATAGTTCACAAAGACAATGTTTTACATCCTACTTTAGTAAGTAATCACTGGGGTTTTAAAAGCTTGTGAGCACCCATCTAAGGTGCAACTATTGATCTTCCCTGTGAGGAAAAAAAAAAGTGAAGAAAACCAAAGTTATGTGTAAACTGTCCAGTGGACCAAGTAAACATCAGTCTCCATGATCCTGAGACCAGAAAAGCTGAAGAACTGGACAGTGCCCAGCTACTACTACCAACTACTCTGAAAGAGATTACATTAGATGACCCTGGATAGAGTGGGAGAAAATATGGAACAAAACTCAAAATCATAAAAAGATACCAGGTTTATTGATCAGATAGAGACTGGTGGAACCTCACAACCATGACCTTTGGTCACCTGTCAGGTCTGAAACTGAACTCACCCCATGATTCAATTTTCAGCCCAACAATAGGTTCAGAAAGGGAACAACAACACTAGTTAGGAACTCACACCTTAGAATAACCAACCGGTGGAGATCAAAATGGCAGCATGTACCCAAGGATGAAGTTCAGAAGGGTTAGGAAAGGAGGAATGGAAACAGGAAACAAAGGGAGGAAGTGGGATAAGTGATGTTCCTTTGACGGGAGATAGGAAACAAAATGGGTATAAATTGCTAAATGTAAAACTGATGATCTGCTCTGTAAACTTTCTCCCAATTCCCAATAAAAATGTTTTTAAAAAACAAAACAAGGGCAGAGACCTTGTCTTCAGCATTGCTGGATCCTCAAAACCTAGAACAGTGCATGGCACTTAGTAGGTACTCAATCATTATTTGCTGGATTGATTGAAGGATGGATGGATATACAGAACAACAAATTTGCTTAGTACTTAATTGTGCTCTGTGCTAGGGACTCATTGATAAATCAGGTCTGTCTCTGCCTGCAGGGAACGCTCAATCTGATCGGGGAGATGAATGGAGACACAGGAAAGCAGAAGGTGTGTAGGGAACTGGAGGACAGCCTGGGCAAGCTGGAAGAGGAGAGGCATCCCAGGAAAGGCATCTCCCAGGCATGGAGGCTTTCAAGGACTACTGCTCCATAGGTGAGAATACCCACCCCGATGAGGCCTCGGAATCGAATCTCCCCAGAGCTGAGCAGTCCCCGGGTGCTGCTTGGCTTCTGCTGTAGCTGTTCCAAGAAGTCTTTGAAATTGTAAGAGCCAGGCCCCAGCTTTTCCTCCTGCCCCAAGAGAAAAAAGAGTGGAGGGAAAACTTTAAATTTGAGGAGCTCTATGGAGTCCTGGTGTGGCGCTGTGGGCTAATGCGTCAGACTGCAAAGTCGTGTGAACTGTAATGTCAGTGGTTCAAGCTCACCAGCTGCTCCTTGGAAACGTTATACAGGGTCCCTATGGGTCAGAATCGACTTGACAGCACTTAACAACAACAACATGCAGGAAGGAGCCCAGCGGATGCTCCTCCTAGACCAGGAGGACAACGAAGGTCACACTTGAAGCATCTACAATTGGAGAGGAAAGGGGCGTGGGCCCTGGAGTCTTACCTGCATCTGTTTCTCTCTCATAATGGCCTGGTACTGGAAGTGGGGCAACTGGGTCAACCGGGTAGCTTCTTGGGCCTTGGCCCAGCCTGTGCATACCTCCTTGTTCAGCGTCTTCTTGCTGAAGCAAGTCTCCTTGGAGCCATAGGTCCCAGGTCCTATGTGGGACTGAATCAGAGAATTGTCAGAGCCGTGTCAGCCACACCTACCTAATCCACCCACAGAGCAAGTGGTCCCCAGCACCTCCCCAACCAGAAGATAGGGGGACAAACAGTGACTCTCTGTGTCCCTCACCCCCAGCACCTGGCCTGGCACCAAGGGGCTTAGTAAACTCAAGCATGACATCTTTCTGTCATCCCAAAGACTGCTATACATTCCCAGATCTTTTATATTTATGTTCTTTCATTTCCTCTTTGCAGCAACTCTCAGAAGTCTCTACCATTATTTAGTTCTATTCCTTACATGCCAGGGAGAAGTAGTAACTTGTGAGTAGAAGAGCTAAGAATAGAACTCAGGTCTCTGTGGTCCCAAACTCGTGTTCTTTTCACTGTAACACTGTTACAGAATATAATTGGTCCATAGGATTTTCTTGACTATCATCTTCATGGAAGCGGATTGCTTAATAAATGCAGACCTATAGCAGATTTCTCCCAAGACGCTGCTATACTCCTGCATATATTAAGCAGGTCTGAAGCCTTGACTTTGAGCCACACTCTGTGCTGTGAGCCGTGGCCCTCACGGTAGGGAACCTCAGAGGGCCAATGGCTAGGCCACATGCACGAACTCACCAATTCCACGGAATAACGCCTGGAATATGGGGCCTCCGTGAAGGTGCTAAACTTCTTCTGGTTGGGATAAACAGCAGAGACATCAAACCTAGGGAGGGAGGAAGACCCAGTGAAGGTCTGTTGCTGCCACTCAGTCTTTGGTTTGGACAGCTCTTAAGAGGGAGAGTTGACTTCCCAGGGGAGGGGACTCTGGAACTGACCCATGATAGATAAAGATTTCAGTGTTTTGAACATTACCAGGCTGCTCCCACCTCAGGATCTTTGTCCCTGCTGATTCCATCTCCCTAGATAGTCCATGGAGTCCTGGTGTGGCACTGCAGAATAATGCACTAGACCACGAGGTCAGTGTGAACTGAAAGGTTGGCAGTTCAAACCTACTAGTCACTCCTTGCAAACCGTCCTATACAGGGTCACTATGAGTCTAAGGAAACTCAATGGTGCTTAACAACAACAACAGATATTTCCCTACCTGTGTCCCGGCCTCTAAAGTCTTTGCTCAAAAGTCACCTTGTGAGGTACAACCCCCACTCTCCTGGCATTCACCAGCTCCTTCTCCCAACTTTATTTTCCTCCCTTGACAATTTTCACTTTCCAGCATTTCATGTTTCCTTTGTTATTACCCACCCTAGCCATCCTTCCCCACAAAAATGCAAACTCTGGGTACAGAGTTCATCCACTGCTGTATCCCCAGATTCTAGAACTGTGTCTTTCTTTCTTTCCTTTCTTCTTTCTTTCTTTCTTTCTTTCTTTCTCTTTCTTTTTTCTTTCTCTCGCTCTCTCTTTCCTTCCCTCCATTCCTTTCTTTCATTCCTTCTTCTCTCTTTCTGTCCCTCCATTCCTTTATTCCTTTCTTTCATTACTTCTTTTCTCTTTCCTTCCCTCCCTTCCTTTATTCTTCCTTTCTTTTTTAATGAGTGAGGGAACAAAGGCACCTGGGTTGAAATCCTACCCTTGACTTGCAAGTTGAGTGACCTAACTGTGGCTTTGGCCACCTCACCTCTCTGAGCCCAGCACACAGTATGTGCTCCTGTAACAGCTTTAAACAACTTACTAACGAAGTGCTGGCACGTGTGAGTGGGGTGAAGAAGTTCTACTCTCTTTTCCCTCCCACTTGCCTTCACTTGCTATCCCAAGCTGAGGGTGGCTGGGAGTGGGTCGGACGTTCCAGAGAGTTAAGGGAAGACCCAGGGAGGCAGAGAGCAGCCAGCCAGGGGCTGCCTTGAACAGCCCCAGCACGCAGACCCTCCCAGGACTCATATCAGCCTCCTCAGCCCTTGGTCACACCTGGCACTCTGTACCCCGAAGGGCGCCCCGACAAACCACTTGGTAGCCATGGCACCGGCTCACCCCGAGCCCTGGAGAGCATGAGGGAGCTCCGCCTCTCTCTCCAAGACTGCTCTGAGCCCCAACACTCCGGCTGCCACCGCTG